CGCGCGCGTCCGCTCCGAGTATGAATATTTACGTGACTCTTGCGATCGACACTCTCGTAGTTCAAACGTATCGTTTTTAACGTCGGCTCTCTCCTGCATCTCCGAGGCCGCGAAAAACGCCGCGGTAATTTGTTTCGATCTACTACGTCGCTTTGCAAACGACTGACACGGGCCGCCTTTTACCAACGATGGCAGTTGTGTTGACTTCGTAGCGATCCAGTTCGTGGCAATCAACGGAGGCGGTTACGCATCCCGGCCTCGGCATTCGGGCGCGTTTAAATCGTGTTAGTGTCGACATAACACTGCACGGACACGAACCGCACGAACCGTAGACAAGTGGTGGCGGAAAAGACGCCCGTGCTTATTATTGAAAATCCACGTGCTCCGAACTGCTCTAAACCATGCCGAGCTCTCCGATTGGTTGTTCGAAATGCCGAGACGCCGTTGCCATAGCAACAGCATCGGTAAGTTCTAGTTTTTCCGTAGGAGAACGTAGCTTTCCTCCTCCCACTTAAGAACGCGTTCGTGAATACCGATTTCTCCTCTTCTTACGATGTTCTTAACTTACGAACTTCTTTGCTAAGTTGTCGTAAACTGAGACGCTCTTTGTGAATCTGGCCTCTGGTGAATAAAATCAAAGACAACCGCCGCTCTTCGACTTTGTTAGGAGCGTACACACAGGTAATTCTCCATTCAGATCCAGAAAACGAAAAATCGCACACAGCGAAAGGACCAGTCGTACAAGTGGTCACCTCCTCTACGGTCGCCTCTAGACTTTGGCGTACGAGCAGCATACAGCCCGCCGACGACCCGACCGCGTGACTAACGCATATGTTATAGCGATCCGTGAAAGGCCGCAGCATAAATTCGGTCCGTTCCTCACTCTCCACCTTGGTCTCCTGCACAGCGATGATGTTGAGGTCCTGCTCGACGACGAGGCGATAGAGCTGCCTCTGTCTCCTACGGTCCGCGAGCCCTCGGACGTTGAGGGTCGCTAGTCGTACAGGACATTCTAAGGAGTCCATGGGCTAGCGAGGACCAGACCAAGCGAAATGGCGCTTACCCCCAGCGGTCGCTGTCGCACAGGGCAGTCCTATCACACGTCGAGTCACTCCGGCCGCTTGTCGCTGTCCTGTGCCGGTGCTGACCGCGCTTGCCGTCTACGCCCTTCCAGCCGGCGACTAGAGCACTATATAGCTCCTACGGAGCAGAGTAGCGCAATCCTTTGAACCCCGTGTTTTGCCGACAACATGGCCGACAGAGCGGCTCGGCGCGAGTCACTTGGTACCCAGGGTTCCAGGAGGCGGCCCGCCCTATGGGAGAATACATGGAGATAGATACAACACGGCTGATTAAAAAATGAACGGCGAGTTCACACTTTTCAAAACTAGTCTGCCGTGAAGTTAGTAAAGCACTAAACACTTTATCAAAGTGTTAATAATATCGAATGCGTGTGCGAGTTTTGAGAAGGCAATTTCCAAGGCAATGGCGTTTGAAGCAGACGATTTTTGCTCGCAGCGGAGATGGGCTTTTCGGGTTGGCAGTAGCGGGTCACGTGAATGGTGTGACGTCGCCGTGTCGTCTGCTGCATGATGCCGCTCAAGCAATTTTTAAAAAAAAGTCAGGTCCTTGCGGGGCGCAAAACTTAGCGCAAATTATTCTAAAATGTTCCATTATTATGTAAAAAACAATTTCCACTCCGTACACCTCCACAATACTTAAGAAACAGCGATTGTCTCACGTTCTCCATGCATTTCTGACCGCAGTTGGAACCTCCGGGCGTTCGCCGCTAGTCGCCGAGAGGCGGCGTTCTAGATTGCGCTACTCTGCTCCGAAGGAGCTATATAGTGCTCTACCGGCGACCATCTTCCACTTGCGCTCGAGCCGGCGCAGCTGTAGTTCCTGCCCAGTCGTGTCCCCGACGTCTTCGAGCGGGCGCTTCGCTGAGCTCGCTTCGACACCCATCTCTGGCTCGGCGGTGACCTCGTCAGGAACCGGGGCCACTCATTTATTCATTCATTCATTTATTTTCACCTTAAGGGCCCGGTTAGGGCATTACATAAGGGGAGGGCAGTAGAACGAAGAATGCAATAGCAGACGCAGTAGTAGAATAATAACAGTAATTATAAACAAGAACATGAGAAATTATACATAATGGGCTAGTAGATTATCGTAAAACACTGTTCTATCAGAGGTGCTGACGATGGAGGATGGCAACTGGTTCCACTGTGTGATGGCATATGGGAGGAATGATTCGTTGAATGAGTTAGTTTTACCAGAAATACGTTTTATTGCACAAGAGTTGTTTAGGCGGGAGGATATTCTATCGGGGGGTGAGAGCAGGGCGTTTTTTAGTTCTGGGCAATGATAATAAATTTTATGAAGAAGGCATAAACGGGAGAGTTTCCTTCGAATGAGTAAGGGTATAAGCCCGAGTTGACTTTTTAGAGAAGAGACACTGGTGAAGTGGTCATACGATGATAAGATAAATCGGGCGGCTCGGTTTTGTACTGACTCCAGGTGATTGATTAGATAGACTTGGTGAGGACTCCAGATTGCAGATGCATATTCTAATTTGGGCCTTACATAAGTTTCATATGCCAACTTTCGGACTTGGGGAGGGGCGTCTCGCAGGTTACGTCTGATGAATCCGAGGGTTTGGAAAGCCTCTGCAGAAACGGCTTCGATGTGAGGTTTCCATGAGAGGTCAGGCGTTAGTCTAAGGCCAAGATATTTATACATTGAAACTGATTCGATCACGTCTTTGTCTATGGTATAATGGAATGGTAATTGAGTTTTCTTGCGGGTAAAATGGATTAGCTTACACTTAGATTTGTTAAGCGACATAAGCCATTTTCCGCACCAGTCGTTAATTTTCATTAGATCATTTTGAAGCAAAAGATTATCAGTGTCTGTTGAGATGGTGTTATAGATGACGCAATCATCGGCGGAAAGTCGTATTTTGCAGGAGATGTCATGTGGGAGGTCGTTAATAAAAATTAGAAAAAGCAGCGGGCCAAGGACGGAACCCTGAGGTACACCTGAAGCGACGTTTGTTAGCTTTGATTCATGCTCGTTAACAACCGTGTATTGCATACGAGACGCGAGAAAGCTGCTAATCCATGAATATACAAGGGGATCTAAGTTTAGGGATGATAGTTTAGAAAGCAGACGTTGATGGGAACACGGTCAAATGCCTTCGAAAAGTCGAGAAATATGGCGTCGGTTTGTATATGGCGTTCTAGGTTAGTCTGCAGTTCGTGAACAAATTCACATAGTTGGGTCTCGCAGGAGAACCCCCTACGAAAGCCGTGCTGGTGCCTGAAGAAAAAATTATTTGACGTTAGGTGAGTCATGATGTTAGAATACAAGATGTGCTCAAAAAGTTTTGACGCAATGCAGGTTAGAGAGATGGAACGATAGTTCGAGGCAGAAGATCGAGTTCCCTGTTTGTGGACTGGGGCGATCCTCCCAATCTTCCAGTCGGAAGGAAGACAACTCTCGGAAAAAGATTGATTAAAGATGAGGCTGAGAATTTCACCGGAAACGTTGGCTGTATTTTTTAAGATCTTTGCATTAATATTGTCTGGGCCTGCTGAGGAAGTGAGCGGTAGTTTTTCTATTTGCTTAACAAAACCGGATGAGTTAACAGTAATCAACGACATGGGATCATAACACTCTTCAGGGACAGTTGGAACATTTTGTGGGGATTCAGTGGTAAACACAGAAGAAAAGTAATCATTAAGCACTACAGGGCACTCCCTCTCCGGTACAGGCTCACCAGCAGTATCCTTCAGATTGATATTTACGTGGCCACTTTTAGGTGACATAAGCTTCCAGAATTTTTTTGGATTATTTTACAAGATTGCGGGCAAGTCCTGGTAAAAAAATTTAATTTTAGATAGCTTAATGGTTTTGGTATAGTTTTTGAGCGTAGTGTAATAAGCGTCCCAGGCAACAGATAAGTTAGTTCGTTTTGCCCTTGCAAACAGTCGTTTTTTCCTATTGCACAATGACCGGAGCGCTTTATTATACCATGGATTCGAAGAGTCCGTCCTAATGCGTAAAGTAGGGACGTATAATCTAACCAGATCACTTATTTTATTCTTGTAAAGTACCCAGTTTTCCTCGACAGATCTTATCGAGAATTCAGATACGTACAAGCTATAAAAATTTGATAAATCATTGTTCATTGCTACGTAATCGGCTTTATTATAATCGTGAATAATTTTACAGATTGGGTTTTTGACGAATACCGGGAACGACAGGTCAACGTGAAGGATACTATGGTCGCTCAAACCGTTACAATGACTTACTGTTTTTACAATGTCCGGTGATGTAGTTAAAATGAGGTCGAGAATGTTACCAGAGCGTGTCGGTTGGTTAACCACCTGCGTCAGATTGAAGGTTTGACACATGTCAAGAAATTCTGTCGATGTGCGTGACCCATCAGATAATACATTGACCCAATCGATTAGTGGAAGATTAAAATCACCAAAAAGCAACAAGTCAGCTTTTGGGAAACGGTTTTTAATATCAACTAATATGGAGTAAAGAGTGATGGTGAACGATGAATCACAGTCAGGTGGTCTGTAACATACAGCCATAACGATTTTATTGGATGGCGTGCAAACACATACCGCAGAAAATTCGATGCTTCTATTTGAAATCGTAACATCAAAACAAGAAATACTTTTTTTTATAGCTATAAGTACACCACCCCCTCTTCAAAAGGCTCTGTCATGGCGAAAAATGTTCCAGTCATCGTTATGGGGGAATACTTCTTTGTCATCAATACTAGGATGAAGCCATGTTTCTGTTAGGACTACGATATCGGATTCACTGTCCGCCATGACGGCACAAAGATCATCGCGCTTCGGTATGACACTTCGAATGTTGGTAAAAAGAACAGAATGTAGTTGGTTTTTATTTCGCGGTTCAATGTGGCGGGAACTGACTATCTTTCCCTTAGCTTTTTGCATTGTTTGCTATGCATTTAGCTCGACAACAGACTGTGAATCTTGATCAAAGAAATTGCGTTTGTTACCGATGTGTAATTTATCAAAGTGCACCTTAAAAGATACGTTAAGGCTCTTTCCGTACTCAAAAAGTTTGGCTCGAGATTGCCGCACTGAAGCGGAAAAATCGTCGCGGACAGAAAAATTGCTTCCTTTCAGCTTAAACCCGGAAGCCAATATACTCTCTTTGTCCTTAAAACGAGAAAATTTGACGATTATAGGTCTGTTCTTGCCATCATCAAATTTACCTAAGCGGTGCGACCGTTCTAGATTGGAGGGGTCCAGCTGGATGCCCAGTTTTTCTGAGCAGAAAGCAAGTACAATTTTTTCTGATTGACTCCAAGTTTCGTTCAGAGCGTCAGGGCAGCCAAAAAATAACAGATTACACCGTCGAAGTCGGTTTTGGTGGTCATCACATTGTTTTTGAATGTTAGCTATCTCAGCCGACATGCCGGCCTTTGGTGCAGCGCCTGACACAGCTTTTGCCTTGGCCAGTTCCGCCTCAATAGCAGTTACTCTCGCTGACAGCTGACCTACCAAAGCACTCGTACTTTTTTGTTCATTTTGGAGAGCCATAACCTTAGCCAGCATGTCGCCCTGAGTAGCCTCAATTCGCTGAACAGTAGATAGAATATTAGCAATAGCTTCGGTATTTGGGCCTGGGTTTGATTCAACGTCTCCCGACATTACCAAAAACATTTGCGAGAGCGAAGCAATGTAACAGCACTCGATACAAAAGCGGGAAAGCAATCTTAAGTAGTGGCGAAAGTCGTCGTTATGGCACGACACCATAATCAAACAGTGGTCGCTAGTGCGAAAACATCGTGCATTGTCGAGGTAACTAACCTGAAGAAACAGAAGGGTGTGCGTCATTGCTTGCTCGACGGTGACGTGCCCCAACTGGCCGGTCAGCGAGAGCTCCTTTTGTAGGCACTGTTCAGCCGGGGCTGTCCCCGGTTGCCAGGTGAAGTGCGGTGATGTGTCCAGATTTGGCGAGGTACACGGTGCAGGTGCTGGTGTCGGTCCGTGCTTCGGGAAACAAATCCCCCACTCGTTGTCGCTGCCATCGGACTCTTCTGCTACGAACGTCGGTGGAAGAACCAGCGCCAGGAGCATCTGAAGAAACAGAAGGGTGTGCGTCATTGCTTGCTCGACGGTGACGTGCCCCAGCCATGTCGCTTATCGTTGAGGTCTCCGACTGGAGCTCGACTTCAGGAGGTGTGTCCGAAGCCGCGGTAGCCGGCGGCTTTGGCGGCGAGCCGCTCTCCCCTACGGGGACAGTGCCAGGGGCGTTGTCCTTCTTGACGTCCTCATTCGGGGCTCCCGCTGGTGCCGCCGCATACTCCGCCTCTTCATCGTCCATGACGTGGTCTGCGTTTCTTCGTTTGTCCCTCGACCAGCGGCCCGGGCGTACGAGCGGACGCAGTCGTCCCGCTCGTGGCCGAAGGCAAGGCACTCAGAGCACCTGGGAGCCCGGCAGTCCCGACGGATGTGCCCCGTCATGCGACACCGGAGGCAGAGGGGTGGCCGCCCAGGCACAACAACGAGCACCATGCCGCCGCCGAGCCGAAGTTGGTGCGGCAGGCGGTCGAGGGTGACGCCCTCTCTGAGAACGACGCGGACGATGCGTGTGGTGGACTTGACGCCATCGAACCCCGGCACCTTCCAACGCTCGTGCGCTACTTCTTTCACCTTGCCGTACTCGGCGAAGGCTCGGTGGATGGCTTCGTTCGTGACTCCAAACGAGACACAATGCAGCTTCACCCTCAGCTCTTGTCTGTAAGGGTCGACGACGAGGCACTTCCTTCCCTCGACGGCGAGCCGCCCCGCCTCGAGGAGCTTCTTCTTGGCCTCGTCGGTCCTCGGGTCGAGCAGCCAAACGTGGGACATCTGGTAGGCCCCCATCTTGACCACCTCCCCGGGGACACCTGCGTCGCCAAGTGGTTTCCGGAAGTCCTCGATGCGATACGGGCGACAGGCCACGTCGCCGTGCAGCACGACGGCGTGCCTCATCGCCTCCCCTGAAGGCAGCTGAGGCAAAACAATCCTGTAGTCTTCGTTTCCGTTCGCGAACGAATCACCGCGGCCGGCGAGGGCCGTTATCGCTGCTCCTTGGGAGGCCATGATTCAGCGCCCGATGCACTCGGCAACCGGAAGAAGAATCCCCCTATGCCATGCAATCGCTTAGGAAAAGTCGATTTGACCATTCGTTTTATACGAGTTTAGCAGAGTGTGTATAGCCATTTCCGTCCGAAGTGCACTCCGGAGTGCGTATAGCTTTACTCTTTATATAAAGCTCAAATTCCGAGGTGGCAATCTTGGATGGCTATGAAACGGTTCACAAGCCGAGGTGGCCATCTTGCATGGCTGTGAAACGGTTCACAAATCCTTAAAATGAATGTAATTCATGACATCAAAAATCAGGAAACGTGTGTACCCGTCCTTTGTTTTTTCTCCTTTTTGAAACTTTTTCGGGCAAAAGGGACATCCTTTTGCAAACGGAACCACATGCACCGTAAGCATGTTTCAAAGAAACGCCCTCGATGTCTGAACCTTTCGGGACGACCGTATACACTTTAATTCACAAAACCTATGCGACTTCGTTGAAGCTAGAGAGCAAGCATGCATGCTACGACAGACAGCCCTGGCTTCCACGGACGAACGCGAGCAGCAGACATATCTGAACTACGCTCGCGGATGCTTTTTGTCTGCACTCTTAATGAAACAATAATAATGAGGTGCGACGCAACGGTAAGGCCAATAGCTCATGCCAGATAGAAAGGTATAAACTTTCTAGGCCAAACCTCTCGGGCCGAGTCAGGAGCATTTTAGTGTTGCAGCGCGAGATTCTGACAATGAGCGCATCGCTCTAAAGAATGCTTCGGCTGCATATGCAATTAAGCCTTCAGCATGTTATGCAAAGCACTCGTACATCCCTCGCCGTACTTCAGTTCTACTCACCTGCCATGTAGAGTACTTTCGCGTCGTAGAACGATCCTTTTGTTCGCGCGTCTCCGGCCCAGTAGACCTGGTACACCTTGTCGTCTTCAACTACACCGCTAAAGTCCCTCACGTCGCTGGAACTCACAACAGGCTGGGTCTTGTCGAGTAGAAATTCTACTAAAACATAAGACATTGTAGAGCCCGGGCAGGATCGACAGGTTGGAGCAAGCGGGCAAACAAAACGAGTCGAGAGCGATCGTTCATGGAAGCTCGGCGAAGCCTCTATGGGCGAAGCGAAAGTGGCGTGTTCGGCGTTTCGGCGGGCTTCTGATCAAGGTTGTCGGTCGGTTGTGTGTCGTATCTCTATCATCAGCGGTTTTATGGGCTCACGTCCCGAAATCGTTTTCTCGTGCATAGATTATTTTTCGTATTCATAGATTTGACGAAATAGTGGTATCCGAACGAACTTTACGTCCTTTGACCGTACGTCTGTCTGCACGTCAAAGCTTTTTGATGTACAGTCAGATACAATCGATGTACCATCAGAATCGCCACCAAGACATCTTGATGGCATTTCACGGCGGCCGACTGCCACCAGGAAACCATCAGAAAGCCGACAAGCGGAGTCTGACTGGAGTTTGACTGTCGGTCAGAGTAACTTGTTGGCCAATCAGACATGCTTGACGTACAGTCAGGCACAGTCAGCGGTCCAGTAGAAAACACTAACTGCCAAACAGGGTTACATTGATGGATTTTTATTTCGGGACGTTTGTATATAAGACGTGAATTAAGGCTGCCACGGGTCTTTGCCCATCCGGCCCAGCTGAGTTCTGTGTGGGCTCGGTCTCTATACGTGCCCCTGGAGTCTGGGTTTTCGAAAGAATACAAATGCCACTGGTAAACCACAAGACCCAGACTGTGAATCTCGGCACCACCGAAGATTTCTTCATTTCGACGGCTTTGGTACAATTATCCTATTGGATCGGTAGGTTCATTTATCTGCACATTTTTAATTATTCATAGGAGATTATTCACCCTGTCCAACAACCTCCCGACCCTCAAAGAAAAGGAAATATTTGTGGCGGATACTCGCAAGTACTTGCTCTCTAGTAGTTATTTTAACCCGAAGAACATAACCTCGTTCAAAATGTCCTATATCATTTCATTTGTTTCAACAGTTAGATGTGGAAGTCCGTGCTTTGATCAAAGCTGTCATGCACACATTTGCACGGTGCTTGCACCTATTAGGATAAAATCCTTATGCTTGTAGTTTCCACTTCACATGCACTTACGATATATAAACTTTAATTTTGAAATACTATCTATGTTTTATTGAGTACCTGATTTCAGCATGTTGCTGGCACTGTCATTAAAGTGTGAAAAATAAGTTGCTAATACATTAGCTTTTTCTTAAGGCTTGTGAAGTAAACATTTGCCTCACTGATGGTGCAGATGACTACACATGTAGAACTTGAACCATTACCTAGCCTTTTTCTGTAGAAAGTGTTTTGTGATTGATCTTGTATGTTAATTTTAGAGTAGCCAACTGATTGGTTAACACATTTTTAAGATTAAATTTCTTTTATTCAGGTATGCTGGAAACAAGACGTGCCTGAGGGACATCGGGGTACGTTTTAACGCGTATAGCTTTACTCTTTATATAAAGCTCAAATTCCGAGGTGGCAATCTTGGATGGCTATGAAACGGTTCACAAGCCGAGGTGGCCATCTTGCATGGCTGTGAAACGGTTCACAAATCCTTAAAATGAATGTAATTCATGACATCAAAAATCAGGAAACGTGTGTACCCGTCCTTTGTTTTTTCTCCTTTTTGAAACTTTTTCGGGCAAAAGGGACATCCTTTTGCAAACGGAACAACATGCACCGTAAGCATGTTTCAAAGAAACGCCCTCGATGTCTGAACCTTTCGGGACGACCGTATACACTTTAATTCACAAAACCTATGCGACTTCGTTGAAGCTAAAGAGCAAGCATGCATGCTACGACAGACAGCCCTGGCTTCCACGGACGAACGCGAGCAGCAGACATATCTGAACTACGCTCGCGGATGCTTTTTGTCTGCACTCTTCATGAAACAATAATAATGAGGTGCGACGCAGCGGTAAGGCCAATAGCTCATGCCAGATAGAAAGGTATAAACTTTCTAGCCCAAACCTCTCGGACCGAGTCAGGAGCATTTTAGTGTTGCAGCGCGAGATTCTGACAATGAGCGCATCGCTCTAAAGAATGCTTCGGCTGCATATGCAATTAAGCCTTCAGCATGTTATGCAAAGCACTCGTACATCCCTCGCCGTACTTCAGTTCTACTCACCTGCCATGTAGAGTACTTTCCCGTCGTAGAACGATCCTTTTGTTCGCGCGTCTCCGGCCCAGTAGACCTGGTACACCTTGTCGTCTTCAACTACACCGCTAAAGTCCCTCACGTCGCTGGAACTCACAACAGGCTGGGTCTTGTCGAGTAGAAATTCTACTCAAACATAAGACATTGTAGAGCCCGGGCAGGATCGACAGGTTGGAGCAAGCGGGCAAACAAAACGAGTCGAGAGCGATCGTTCATGGATGCTCGGCGAAGCCTCTATGGGCGAAGCGAAAGTGGCGTGTTCGGCGTTTCGGCGGGCTTCTGATCAAGGTTGTCGGTCGGTTGTGTGTCGTATCTCTATCATCAGCGGTTTTATGGGCTCACGTCCCGAAATCGTTTTCTCGTGCATAGATTATTTTTCGTATTCATAGATTTGACGAAATAGTGGTATCCGAACGAACTTTACGTCCTTTGACCGTACGTCTGTCTGCACGTCAAAGCTTTTTGATGTACAGTCAGATACAATCGATGTACCATCAGAATCGCCACCAAGACATCTTGATGGCATTTCACGGCGGCCGACTGCCACCAGGAAACCATCAGAAAGCCGACAAGCGGAGTCTGACTGGAGTTTGACTGTCGGTCAGAGTAACTTGTTGGCCAATCAGACATGCTTGACGTACAGTCAGGCACAGTCAGCGGTCCAGTAGAAAACACTAACTGCCAAACAGGGTTACATTGATGGATTTTTATTTCGGGACGTTTATATATAAGACGTGAATTAAGGCTGCCACGGGTCTTTGCCCATCCGGCCCAGCTGAGTTCTGTCTGGGCTCGGTCTCTATACGTGCCCCTGGAGTCTGGGTTTTCGAAAGAATACA